GGCCCCTTTGTCCGCTGAACGCAGCAACGGGCTTGAACCTCCTTTGACCCCAGGAAAGCAGGAGCCCGGTCTATCGGAGGGTTCGGTTGACCCTATGGTGGCAGATCTTTGGGGATTTGACGAGGATTATTTCCCTACAGGAGTGTTTGACTTCCTTCAGAGCCAGATGCCAGCGTGATATACCTAGGACTTGGAACGCTTTCCCTCGACTATTCTCTTTGTACATACATTACTAACGGCCTATGATTGACGACCACAGTCGCCGAGGGAAATATGGCTGGAAACATACATTAGAGTGAACTATTAATTAAGTCGGGATATATATACATACGAAAATAGACCATTTCCCTGATAAATGGCACTACCGAGTATGTACATATGAAAGGATGGACGGGAATTTGGCTTAGCGATTGTCGTTGGCGACATCCATGGATTTGGCGAACTATTTTTAGATCCCCGTTCATCCTCAGCTTGAGTACCGTTTGATCTCAAGTTGCTAAATCACCTACGGGTGGTGACTTCTTTGTTTTGGAATTTTGTGTTTTGATTCTTTTTCAATTATAACCATGTACAAAATATTCAAGCTCCCAATATTATTCCGTATACACCTTGGTGCTTGGCATAGAGCCCACCCGGATAGACCGAAAAAGTCCGAGTCGGTCGAACATGCGGAACCAAACAGCCATTGCTCGGGAATTTTGTCGAATCATATTGATCAGGATAAATACTAACCGGGCCGAGTTACTCTTGATCTTTTAATCTCATCATTTCTGGTTGCACTCGGTGATTTCAAATACCCCAAACCTGCAAAACTGCCGAGGTCTCATTAGTGCATATTTGATGGAGGTCCCCCGCAACAATTGACACCTTTTGATTCTCTCTTCACTTTGTAAAATTGCCTTTCTTCTTTGTTTTAGCCATGATGAAATGCTCCCTTCTTCGTGCAGCTGCGCGCTCGATCCAGGCTGGTCCTACCTCCGCCGCAGGCCGCCGGTATGCCTCCTCGGCCGTCTTTAATTGGGAAGATCCTCTCGCCGCAGCAGAGCTGTTTACAGAGGAGGAACTGGCAATCCAGGATACAGCACGCCAATATTGCCAGGATAAGCTTGCACCCCGCGTATTGGGTATGTCTAATTTGCTTTGCTTCTGTCGTGAAATGGTGAACTGACGTCAGTGACTCCCTTGCAGAGGCTTACCGCAACGAGAATTACGATCGTCGAATTCTAGAAGAGATGGGCGAGCTGGGCCTTCTTGGTGCTTCAATTGAAGGATACGGATGCGCCGGTGTCAGCACTGTGGCATCGGGCCTCATCACCAAGGAAGTCGAGCGCGTGGACTCCGGATACCGATCAGGCATGTCAGTTCAGAGCTCGCTAGCCATGACCGGCATCTACGAGTTCGGCACAGAAGAGCAAAAGCAGCGCTTCCTTCCTAGTCTCGCTAAGGGTACAGTCGCCGGTTGCTTCGGTTTGACAGAGCCCAATCATGGCTCTGACCCTGGGTCCATGGAGACCGTGGCGCGTGAACACCCCACGCAGAAGGGCATGTACCTGCTTTCTGGCAGCAAGACGTGGATCACGAACTCGCCCATCGCCGACCTTGCGCTCGTGTGGGCTAAGCTCGAGTCCACGGGAAAGATCCGTGGCTTTATTGTGGAGCGTGAGCGTGCGACGCCCGGGTCGTACGAGACTCCCGCTATCAAGAATAAGAGTGCACTGCGTGCTTCCATCACTGGTATGATCCATATGGATAACTGCCTCGTACCAGCGGAGAATATGCTGCCGGATGTCGAGGGCCTCAAGGGCCCCTTTACGTGCTTGAACAGTGCCCGCTTGGGAATTGCGTTTGGTGCCATGGGTGCCCTAGAGGATTGTCTTTCCCGTGCGCGCGAGTACAGCCTGGAGCGCAAGCAGTTCAAGGGCAACCCGCTTGCCAAGTACCAGCTTATTCAGATGAAGCTGGCTAACGCTGCTACGGATGCTGCTTACGGAACTCTGGCTGCGGTTCAGGTGGCTCGCCTTAAGGATGCTGGCAAGGCTACACCTGAGATGATCTCGATGATCAAGCGTCAGAACTGTGACCGTGCGCTAGCTAATTCCAGAACGTAGGTTTCCCTATTTTATTTTTCTGGTTTACTCTGCTGACATTGCCAATGCATTAGCCTGCAAGAAATCTTCGGTGGCAACGCTGCTAGTGACGAGTATCATATCGCCCGCCATGTGGCTAACCTGTTTGTGGTGCAGACCTATGAGGGTCAGAGTGATATCCATGGTAAGTTATTTCTGCCTGATTATGTTGGGCTGAAGCTAATGCATATTCCAATAGCTTTGATCCTGGGTCGTGCCATTACGGGTAAACAGGCCTTTGTCTAAAAAATAAACATTGAAAAGAACACACTTATATATAGAATATATCCCAATCGAATGCTTCAAATAGGTACCTACGCACCTACAGTAGTAGCCCTAAGTTATCTAAATATGTAGGTATGTAGTCAACGTATGTAATCAGCGTATGTAGTCAATGTAGGTATATAGTTCCTTCCTTTTTGGGATAAGCGGGAAATTGCGGGCGCCTCACCCGCACGTGACATCATCGAGGGGTAGTGTATCAGTATCACATGGTGCAATACAGGTTTTCAATACAGAGGTATATTGAAGTTCAGAGAGATTTGAATATGAAATATGAAATATTATATGTAGAGATTCACTATTAGAAGATCTACTTGATTACAAAGTAGATATATACATATGTATCTCCATAATTACTGGTAGGCACTGCTTTCTAATGACTAATCTGAGCAGTTGAAACATCTGCAATTGCTGTCTTGTGTACATCTGTGCCCCGCCAAATTTTCGATGATTCAAACCAATCGAGACATTTACCTTCATTAAGCAATTAAATTTGATTTGAAAGTCATATCCCATATTCTATCTGCTTCTACCTTGTTCTTTAACACAAATAACAACAGGTTAATAACCTCCAAATGAGAGCTGATCATGATGTGTCATCTCAGTGTGGCGCCCGGTATTCCTGTATTGGGCCGTACAATACCGACAGAATCGATTCCGCCCACCTGGGGCACTTTTCCCCCTCTTGAGACTCCCAATTATCTTCTTCCCTCTTCTTTTCCACACAAAGACGTAATCGTAAGTTGACCAACTTCACTCTCTAAACTTGAATCAACATCTGACGATCCATTATCCAGTTTCTTTTTGTTTTCTACACCTTTGCAATCTTTGCTCGTCATGGCTCTCAAGCGTATTAACAAGGAACTCACTGACCTCGGCCGGTAAGCCTATCCTGATGCTATCATTTGCGCTTCATGACTCTTAACTCTCCTTTAGAGACCCACCCTCTTCCTGCTCCGCTGGCCCCGTTGGAGATGATCTGGTATGAACACTCGTTTTCTTGGTTGGCGCCGTGTGGCGGGGCATAATCGCCCCGGTGTTGAACTAGAATTGATATCAATGAGGGGATCATAAATGACTGACTTTGGTTTTTTTCTTGCAGTTCCACTGGCAAGCGACCATCATGGGTCCTGTAAGTTGTTCTCATCTCTGCTCCGGAGGACCTTGAGGGGGCCATCTAGCTCTCTACGAGGTGTAGAGATTCATCACCGGATTCATGATACTAATTTATCTTATAGGGTGACTCCCCATACTCTGGCGGCGTCTTCTTCCTTGCCATTCACTTCCCTACCGACTACCCCTTCAAGCCACCCAAGGTTAACTTCACCACTCGCATCTACCACCCCAACATCAACTCCAACGGCAGCATCTGTCTGGATATCCTGAGAGACCAATGGAGCCCTGCCCTCACTATCTCTAAAGGTGGGCAATAACTTTCCTTTCATTATCTATTACGCACAATCTCTAACTTGTCATAGTGTTGCTCTCCATTTGCTCGATGCTCACAGACCCCAACCCGGACGATCCGCTTGTGCCCGAAATCGCGCACGTCTACAAGACCGACCGACCCCGGTACGAGGCGACAGCTCGCGAGTGGACGCGGAAGTACGCTATTTGAGTGAAACGACAAATCTGATCCCTTCTGCGCTTCTGTTCTTCCTCTCCCTCTCTCAATAACCCTTCTTGCGGCCCCTATCCCGCTCGGTCACTTTCTCTCGGTGTCATCTCAACGTCGCTCTGCATCTTTCTGCTTTCTCTGCCCTCCTGCTCTAGATTCAGAATCCGCGAAAGCCTGGCGTACCTGTGGTCGTAGAAACGTTTTCAGTTTTTTTTCACCCAACTCTGTGTGTTGATTTCAAATGCACCTGTTCTTGCTCGCGTTTGCTTCCTGCTTTCGTGTCTAAAAACTCCATTTGCGCCGGGTTTGACCTTGTCTTGTTGGGTTGAGTTTCTGGGACTTTTCATATCCAACGATCCTTATGACCAAATTCTCATGCATTCATGGCATCCGTTTCTTCTCTTTTTCAAACGCTGCATGCGTCTAGGATTGAATTATGGACTTTGCCGAGTTTTCTCCGGTTTTTTTTAAAATTCTTTGCTTGTACTAGGCGGTGCTTCGAACTCGGTGGGTAATGCTTTGATTTGGAAGATAGTTCGAGATCGCCTATTGTGTGTCTTGTGTTTAGGGGCCTTTCTCTTTTTCTATCTCAAATAGCACAATCTAGGCAGGCCGGTCTTTGTATGAACCTTGGATGTTGTAGACTGTAGTTTGTACATCGTATAATGTTGGATTGATCAGTGGGTGAGTGTACAACCTCAAAACACCGATTCTCTTCAATAATGCATTCATTCCAATCGCCCAACTCCCAACTCCATATATGTATGTATATGTATATGTATGTATATGTATATGTATGTATATCTATGTAGATGCAAATCAAAAGATTAATAGTAAACACCATAAAATCAAATCAAGTACAAGTCCAGCACCAAGAATAGAGGAAACAGAAATAAAATGCAAAAGAAACCAAACTCAGCCACCCGTTACAAGGAACAGGAACCAAGCATGCGTATTTCACAAGATGCATCACATCAAACAACCTGACTCCCTCGTCGACTCCCAGCCTTCGACCCCTCCCCAGCCTTCGCAGTCCTCTGACTGGCCTTAGAAACCTGACTCCCCGAATCCGCCGATCTCACATGCTCCTCATCATTAGAGCTCCTTGACCGATGCGAGCGATGTCGGTGAGTACGAGACCCAACCTGGCTAATCGAGTCATCGGGCGAAACCTGCGAGTCAACATCCAGATCCGCAACACTCTCCGGCAGCGGGATATCCCGCGCAGACAAATACGCGTTCCCATCTCTAGCATCCTTGCTGTGGATACTCGGGCTGGAGTAGTATGTTGTGTTCGAGCCAGCGGGGAGGGGGATATTGCGTGCAGAGCGGGATGATGATGCAACACTAGCGTTATCCTTGCCGACATGCGAGGAAGAGCGCACTGATGCAGTCCGGTGGGAGTGCGTACTTTGCTGACTCTTGTGCGAGCGCTGCGAGACGCTCGACTCGCACCCGTCGCGGTCATCGTGGCTGTGCCGGCGGTGTGTGCTCTGCGATGCTTTGATAGTTGATGAGCTATGCACGCTGCTTGGTGCGCCGCCGCGGGTCCTATCGTCATGGTAGCTGCTGATGAAGGTTGAGGGGGCGCAGGCGTAGCGTTGCTGGGAGGCGTTGCTTGCGGGTGGGTACTCGATTGCGCGTAGCTGGATGTCTTCCGGGATACTGTAGATGCTGCCTTCTGAGGCGCGGCGTGGGTTATCGTGCATGTATTCGGTGCCATCGTAGATTGTGCTGGCGCGTGGATTCTTGGAGGTCACACTGCGTGTTATGGTTGAGCGCGGGTTTGAGGCCGTGGTGTAGGTGCTGCGAGGTGGTTGGGGTGCTTCGATCGCGCGGTATTGGGATTGTTGGTCGTCACCGCCGAAGAAGGATTGGGCGGCCGCTTTGATTTGGGGGAAGCTGTTCACGAACTGTGTTGGCTGTTCGGGTTCTTGGGTTGTTGATTGTGAATCGCCTTTGACCATTGCGTAGGCGATTGCTGCGCCTGCGGCAGCGCCAATGAGCGTGCCGACAATGGTCTTAGCTGCTTTGCTGCCGTCATCAGTCTTTGGCGGTGCGGGCACTTGCACAGTGTATGATGGTGGCGGTGGGCCGCGGGAAACGACAGTTGGTGCAGACCGCTCAAAGGTTGTGGGTGCTTTGGAAACAGCGCGAGACTTGGCTTCAGATCGGGCTTCAGATCTTGCCTCGGATCTTGCCTCGGATCTTGCCTCAGACCTTGCCACAGATCTGGTTTCAGACATGGCCTCGGACCGTGGGGGTGCAATGCTCTCTGCCTTGATGGTGCTAGCTTTACTGCTTGCCTTTGAGACTACAGAGCGGCTGGAGCCACCCTCCAGAAGAGCTATTGTCGGCCCACTTGCCTCGGATATAACCGAGGCATTGCTGGGCCGGTACACAGCTTCAATGCTGTTGCCGTCGAAGTCGATAACGGCTGCACTGAAGTACCCAGACTGCGAATCTCGCATCTTGGGCTCGCCGTGGATCTTCGCGCCGGCTTTTAGGGCGCTTATGAAGAACGAGCCGACTGCGTCTTTTGACGGGGCTGGAAAGGCGACATGGACTGCACCAGGAGGGGATCTTTGATTTAGGTTAGCCTTGTTAAAAGATAGGATATTTCTTTGTATATTATCACTCACCCAGGCTTAGTCTCGGTCATCCAGAAATCAGCAGGTTCCCCCTGCTTCTGACCGAAACCTATGTAGTCGTCATGTCGACCGATGAATTGATATCCCAATGGCTGTAAGCATGATAAGAAGAAAGAGGTAGAGGTTGGGAGGTGGGAGACAGTCAGGGTGATATGCGAAACGGGCATTGCAAAGGTTGAAGTCGATGTGTCTGGATGCCAGCACGTACAGATAGTGAAAAAGAATGAGGATATGAAAAAAACGAAGGTGAAGGGGAAAAAAGAGAGAGATTAAATGCGGTATGGAGGATATATACGGTGAGGGAATCCAAGTCTATAACCAGAACTATGACGCCAGGAAACGAGGCCACATGAATGATCCCCCAAGAGCCAGTCAGAACAAAGGCTGCGTGACTCTAATCCACAAGCAGAGACGGAATAAACTAGCAGCTTCCAAAAATCCTGCCCAAGCTGGCGAAAAGGGGTCATCCAGACCACCGCATATCTCCGATAGTACGTTGGTGGGCACTAAGGACGTGTGATTTCTGTATGGAGTCAGGCAAGTGGGGTCCAGAGACGATTGGCCAAAAGATCAAGTCAATGTTCAGTACACCTGATCTGCACGGGCAAGTTGAAACAGTCCGAGGACGAGGCGTGTTGAAGCCCAAAGCCGTACTCTGTATAGTCAAAACAGAAAGCAAGTGAGTCCGTACAAAGTACTTCCAGTGGCACTTCCAGTAACACAGTAGCCAGACCGAAGGCCGTTCCTGTTCATGGCTACTTTCGGATGTCTAGTGGCCCAATTTTTTGCAAACTGAAACGCTCTATGGCTGGAGGGGTACAGATGGATCCCTGCCAGGTCATCGCGGGGAGCCAATGTGGATTCCTGTTGGCGGATGGGGCGTCTCTTCTGGATGCCCTGAGCGAGGTGCAGGAGCCTATCGATGTTAAGTGGGCATTTTGCTTACTTGTTTCCCTTGTCTGAGCAAATGGTAGACTTTCGAGTGGAGGGAGAGAAAAAAAAGGACTCTGCTAGGTGGACTTGGGTAGATGTGCTGACCGCTACGGAGTACAGGCTTTGAGTCATACAACAGTACGTCGTACGTTGATAATTTAGGATTGTACTTTTTGATAGGTTAATTTAGAGAAAATAATATGAATTCACATAGAATAGTAATACGATATCCATAATATCTAAAATATACATATATATGACGATGGGCACGAGTGCATCTCAGATTCGATCCGATTCGCGCACTCAAAGTGAGGCGAGCCTAATTGCATGCCACGTCAAGAATCACTAATATTAAGTATTTTAAGAGAGAAAACGAAGTAAAAAAAATAAAAAAGCCATTTATTGAACACAGAAGTTGAAGATATGTGTCTCAGGAACCAAATCAATGGACCCTAATCTATGTGCTGTTCACTTTTTCTGATCTACGCATCGCAGCAGTCGAGGTTGAAGCTGGATGGAAGCAAGATGGATCAAAGGACTGGCGAAAAGGAACCAAATGCCATCCGACCCGTTAACGTGTGCTGGGGAAAAGAAGTGCTCTCTAAACACCCACAGGCAGTCTGGGATGAATCCCGATGCTTGATAGCTGTCCCAGTATCCAGTATACCCAGTGGATTCCCCAAAACAAAACAGAGAGATAGAGAGAAAGGTATGTAGAGAGAGCTGGGCTTAGATAACAGCCAAAATACCCGAACAAGGACAACCAAAACATATACAGAGATATGACCGGTACCTGTATTCTGTGTGCTCAATCCCCGCCCGTAAAAAAAAAAAAAAAAAAAAAAAGCTGTGGCAAAGGTGCCGTCAGTACAGACGGTAAGGACGCGCGCTCTCTGGGCGCGATTTCTTTCTGTCTTTTTTTTCACATTTGAGTTTATCAGAGGATATCCCAGACTTCTTCGGCAGCGTGGCAGAACTTGCTGCAGGCCACACTGGCACTGAGACTGTAGTTGCTGATACTGATGGTTTCATCCTTGAAGGAATCGGCAAAGTCATCGTGACCCTTAGCCATAGCACCGACAAAGATGGCCACACTCTCGTTCGGGTTAAGCGACTCCAGGTAGTCCTTGGTGCGGACCACAGGGGCCTCGAAACTCATGGTCACCTTGCGGCAGTTGGGGGGCAGGTGGTCGGTGATCGGGTTCTTAATAACCTTGAGGAGCTTTTCCTGCGAGTTGGTGGAACGGATGGAGAGTCGGTGGAGCAACTGGACCATCAGACCGGCAAACCGCTTAAATGTTCTTGGGATGCGGACGGAAGGGTTCACTTCGATCAAGACGCCCTTGGCGGTGTGGATGAAAATTTGAAGCCGACCGGCCTTGTTCACAGGGGAATCGAGAAGGGTGAGTAGACACTACGGTGGGTTAGTGGGTATTCCTTTTTGACCTTTGTATTGCCACTGGCGATGTTGAATCGTACCTGGTGGGTAATATCTGGTCGGGCTTCACTGATGTCACGGTTCATCTTGCGCATGATACCAATGTGCTCATCACTGTTCAACAGAGAGAACTTCTCATCCTTGGTTCCTGAACGTCCACTGGAGACAGCCTTGTAGGTTTCCAGACTGGCATTGGAAAGAACCACGATCAAGCGTTGCGTATCCTTATCATGGGATGGAATTGGAACATGCTGCTCAGCGACAAGCTGAGGGAGCTCCGGAGGAGGACATGACTGGGTCCCTATAGGTGAAATATTAGACATTGTGAAGTTTTAAGCTTAGAAGGATTTCAATTTCGGCGCGGGGAGGGGTAAAGGGAAGGGGGGGGGAAAAGGTGACAGATGTGGCTGGGATGTGATTTGGGGAGATTGGGTGCCCATCGATATGTCACACGGACCAAATCAGAATTCTGGAAGATGTTGCGATTCAAGTAACTCATATGTGTTGTAGTTGTGGAGAGAAAACCCCCCAAATCAAACAGAATGACAGTATTGCTATAAAGCAAGGGGGGTGGGAAAAAGAGATAAGAAAATCAACTTACTCGCACGCTTTCTCTTTCCAGCAGCTTGTTCTTGTTCTGACATTGTGTTTATATCAAGATGGTGTTGGAAGTTGGGAAGAGTTTTTGGGTTAAAAGATGGGGAACTCGGAGAGATTAAAAAAAAAAAAAAAAAAAAAGAGAGAGCGCGGGCTTCGGGGACCGGACCATCAGCTGGTAGAGAAATATTATAACCTCTCTGCATTCTATAATAAAGTAGTAAAATACTAAGAACTTTGCTTTTTATTTATGTATTAGAATGAATTCTTCACTTTTTTTTGTATGTTTGATTAGCATAGTCAAATATAGGACTTACTACTCCAAATACTAACATTTATATATAAACCTAGAATATATAATATCTATATCTACCTATAGTCTTTAACCCTGAAAATTCCCTGTTAATCTTAGCTCCAACGGTGCCATTCTTCGTCAGGGAGATCGACACTAACCCCCTCAGTTGTGCCGCTTACGGAGTACATAGTACATAGTACATATCTGTACAATGTATGATTCCAGCTGCGTTTGAACCAGCCACATTAGGGCTTCTCTTTTTGCAGATAAGTTCAACATCCCAGCCCCGACAAGAATGTACCCAAATTGCTTGAGGCTGTCTACCTCTGGACTAGACCCTGATAGACTGGCAAGTTTGGCCACAGAACTCTCTCTCGTGCACAACACCACTGGAGGATTTGATTACAACATAGACCGGATGATGAGGATCTGTGTAACATTCTCTGCATCAGATTGCGTTGGTGACTCAGAACAATTAGATCTGACTGGCTCATACCCAACATTGCCTCTTGAGGGCCAGGGTGTACACCGAGAGGTTGCTGTCCAGTGGATGAGAAGGGTGGAAGGGTCAGCACAGATATGAAGGCCATGAATGGATCAGAATGGTCAAGGTGGTACAAGCAAAGATTTGTCACCAGTAGCAGCAAATCTGAGGGCCTTGAACGAGGAGCTCTCTTCCAGCAATCTCTGAGGCCAGTTCAACTGTTCAGAGGTGCAGCTTGTGACGCCTGTCAACTCTTATGAATTAGGGACCCCGCAGTCCCGGTTAGTGACCGGAATGTATGTGTATCATGTATGCTCCAGCACTGAGGGATCATCTTTGCACGATAACACGCCGCGCGCCCAGTTGCCACCAAGTTCATGTGTAAATCGGGGAGATCAGATTCCCATATGTCGATGGGACCTCGTAACCTGGCTAGCATCAAACCAATCACTAAACAAGGTCAAAAGATCTCTGTTGTGTCTTGACCCAATCAGCATAAAAAAGTTCATGTTGGCCCCAAGCGATCCGATATATTCCCTGAAAATGAAAATAATAACCTATAAACTGTAGCCTGTAGGCGCTGGAGGTGAAGCATTGGAGCGGTCAAATGAGGATCACAATTCCAACGTGGGCTTCCTTGCACAATGCAATACGGGGAAGGCCTTACTGGGTGGAAGCCTTGCACACTTGGCGAAAGGCCAGGGGTGGCTTAGGAAAGCGTCATCTTTAATCTCCCAATCTGGTGGACTTAGCCCAGTGCAACAAGATAGTCTTATTGGTTGAATTTCGAAATTGGAGCCTGTCTGCCAATTGCCAATTGTGTACTCCGTACTCCGTATATTTATGATTTTAGAAAGGGGGCGAAGGGGAAAAAAAAAAGAAAAAGAAGAAGTGCCCGACAGCATACCAACCACAAGAATTTGACAAAAAAAAAAGGCTGGTTGTTATTTGTTATACTCCGTTTTTATCTCTGCACATCTGCACATCTGCACATCTTCACTTTCTCTTGACTCTGTCATCCTTCATTTCTCCTTGGTCCGGTATTAATCCCGGCTGGTGGCGAGATTCTCCTTTTTTTTCTTTAAAAAAAAAAGAGAGAGACTCAGCTCTCCACCGGAAGTTGTTGATCATTTTCCATTTCATTATTTGTTTTTCTATTTGAACTTGAAACCTCTTCAAATCCGAAGAAAGAAAAACCCCTCAAAAAAACAAAGGCACAGTAAAGAATCCCTAGTCCTCTGGAGTCAACCTTGGAACAGGTAAGTCAACCGTTAGTCATCGAAACAATATGACCTAAAACAGACTAGCGTCCCACGCGTGCCGTCACCAGCTCGACTTTCTCAACTTCTTCATCCCACCTTGCCCTGAGCAAATTTTGGAAAAGTCAGGGTCATGCCGTGGACAGTTACCAATTCATTTAAGAGGTATATATGTGTTGGTCCAATTTCTAGGGTGAGCGACTGACATTCCACTTCAGAGGCCTTATGAAAACTTACGGACGACCAACATGGCGCGTCTACGATGATGAGCGCGCCACGAAGAAAAGACGCGTGGATGAGTCCGATGAAGCTGAAGCTAATCTGCAATATGCCATACGTGAGTCTTCAGCCGCCGTGCTATCGAGCCCGTCGCGTCGCAACTCCCTCTTGTCGGAAGGCACGCTCGATGATAGTGATGATCTCACCACACCACCATCGTCACCACCTCAGCGGTTAACCCCGCCGCCAGCCAACACCCGCAAGCCGACTTTTGCGTTTCTCAAGCGCAAGCACAAGGAAACCCCGACCGGAACGCCCTTGACAGAGGTTAATTCGAATAGCGTACGCGCATCCGTGGACCCACCCAAGCAGAAGGGTCAGAAACAACCCGTCATGCGCCAGATGCAGATTGACCTGGGAAGTGATACACGAAAGACCTGTGCTACCTGTGGGATGGAATATATCTCGTCCAATACAGAGGATGCGGCGCTGCATAAAAAGTTCCACGAGATGAATGCGACTGGGATCGATCTGGGCAAGGCATTTATGCGTGCGAACGCCTCACGCTGGGTCTACGAAGCGACTCGATTTGATGAGGGATATGTGGTGATTGTGGACCGCAAGGCGTCTCCCAGTGCAAAGAGCCAAGCGAAGAAGGTTCTCGAAGTTGTCAATAAGGAGCTCTCATCACCGGAAATCGATGATGAGACCCTCTGGAGTCAAACGGAACCGCCCAAACATTTGCAGGACGGTCCGACCGAGAAAGTAGATCGCTACAGGGTCTTTTTGCATATGAAGGACAGTCGCTGTGTCGGGCTCTGTCTAACCGAGCGCATCTGGGAATCGCGACCGGTGGTGAAAGAACACAATGTCAACGCACCCAACGGCTCTGTCTCGACGCGAGATGAAGTCCGCCCGGCCATTGTCGGAATCTCTCGCATCTGGACCTCCGGATCCTCGCGGCGAAAGGGAATTGCTTTAGATCTTCTCGACTGTGTGGTCATCAACTTTATTTACGGGATGGAAATAACCAAAGGACAAATTGCATTCAGCCAGCCCACGGAGAGTGGCAATCGCCTGGCACATAAGTTTTTCGAGGATGAAGAGACATGGCATGTCTATAACGAGCGGTGATGGTGGAACTTGAATATGGGAGGGTCAATTCTTTTTTTCTTCTTGTTTCTTGTTTTTTGTTTTAATTCACAGCACTGGGTGAGGCATATGGGGGGGGGGGGGGGGGGGGGGGGTTTGTTTTTGTATTCTCTGGAGAGCGTTTTATTTTTTATATGCTTCTGTACCATACCCTTTTCCCGTGTACAATAGGGGATCTGGGACGCATTCGTTTCAACATTCCAATTTGACTGAAAACTATTATCGACAATTATGTATTAATGAATTTGATTGAAAAGCCTCTCGGGAAACCGGACTCGACGGAAAGCGGCGCGTAGGAACTAGGAACCTCATGGATAAGAAACTCGGCGGGGACCCCTCAATTCTTCTTCCTTTTCTCTTTATTCTAGCATATTTCATTCTCGACATGTCTGGATCAAATCCTTTTCGTGCTAGAAACCTGGGTATTGTTCTCCCCCTCTTTCCCCTCCATTGAGCCTTCCCGGCAACACGGGGAAATCATTACATGGCGCTGATGCATCTGGACAGGCAATCCCGCAGATTTGCCTACCAAATTTGGCATTTTTGCTCCTGTTTTGCCCTCCAAGTCTCTATCCACTCCACCTATAGCTCCGAACTGTTATCCCGGGAAGTCTTCGTTATCACTCGAACGCGAGGTAGATGACTCCAGCTCCTCGGACGAAGAGACGAACCCGTTCAATCCGGATGTCTCTGCGAGCGATAGCGAGAACGAAACCAATGGTCACAAGAGCCTAGTTCCCCGTAAGGATGATCGACCGCGAGAATCTTTTGGATCAGCTCCACACCCATCAACAGATGGATCCCCCATATCACCCGACCACAACATGCGGTCTGCAACAGGTGTAGACAGCTCCCATGCAGGACGTGCTACGGCGCAGTTGTCTCCAGAGCTTGATGCAAGCAGCCCGTTCGGCCGAACTAAAGACAAGAAGCCGCCACCTCCGCCTAAGAGTCATCACGGCCGCAGAATCGGGTCTCCAGCCACCGCAGAATCATCCCAGACCGCCCGGTCCCGGTCTACTAACCGCCTGTCCATCCATGGCTCCTCTGGAGATATTGTGCCTGGCGCCTCGCATCCAAGCTCTGTGTCTCTATCATCGGTAGACTATTTCTCGGTTTCTACGGGAGTGACAGGATCGACGGACTCGCTCCAGCGCAGCCAGTCTCAGCATAAGCGTCCTCCGACGCCACCTCTCAGTCGACGGCACAGCCAGATGCGGAGATCCAAGTCTACACAGTCCAAAACTAGCAGTCGATTAACCATTTCTTACGACTCGGAGAGTAATAATAGCTCCCTGCCTCCTAGTCCGGGGCCTTCCAGTCGGGCGCTGGAAAACAAGAGAATTAGCATGCCTCCGCCATCATCGGGAGACTTCCAAGCGACGGCCCCGCTGGGAGATATCTCGCTGAACTTGTCTCCCCCAACTAATTCCAGACCATCATCGCTGAAGGCTGGGCGACGAGCATCATCCTATGGGAGTGTACCGGCTGGCTCTGGACCACCTCCGCCCCCTCCGCCTCGGCGCACTCGAGACTCCATTGCCCGTAGTAGTGATGTGATGGGGTCGAAGGAGAACCATACGCCAGCCCCTCAACCATCCAATGCTCTTGATATCCTGGCCGATCTCACCAGACTTCAGAAGGAGGTGGATGATCTCCGGGGGCATTATGAGAATCGGAAGGTTAATGATTGAAGAAGGAGCAGCGGGCTGTTTTCTCTTCCTTTAGTATAGGCGATTGTATACATGAATGAACGAATGCATGAATTTGGCGTTGTATTTACCAGTAATGGATATCTGGTAAATTCTGTACAATGACTTTATATGGGGGAAATACATATTTTATATGGGGAAAAGATGAAAGGCGGGGATATCGTAGGGTGCTGTTTAGTGTCCACTATCGAAGAGGCTTGTATAAAAGAAATCCGAAATATAAGTCAAATACAATTCTCTGATGTCATCTTGAATCAAATAAATCAGATAATTCAGTCTTTCACCAAGTATTAGGCCAAGCATCTTGGGACTATATAATATACGGCACCTCGATATTGTCGTAGTGGCCACTAAAATGCTACTGTCCACAGTCGGAGAGGTATGACGTGGGATGAAATTAATTATTTAGCTACATAGGTAGTGTTCTCCAAGTCCACCATCTCTCCTTCTCTCTTTCTCCAACTTCCATCGCTTTTTTTTTTTTTTTTTTGAAATTTCTCACTGAAATTACTGACCCTACTCAAATTTGCAGGGAATCAACTCATTCTTCCCCTCATCTTCATATCTTCGCATCATGTCTACTCCAACGCTGATCAACTTGCCTCCTCCCCCATCCGACCCCGTCACTCCATCGGATATGGGACCGTAAGATTTCCATACCTCTGTCTTCCCCGTGTCTATAAGTAACATAGAGAGTTGACTGACTTGGTTAATTAATGGGGAATTCAGAGGCACTCCCAATTCCGGCACTACATCGTTATCCGCTCTCTCCACAACAGCTATCAAAGATGGCCACCAAGGCCAACCATTTTCCCATGGCCGCCATACGCACCAGTCCTCCACATCCTCCACTACAACACTAGAGGCTGAGCGTGCAGACCGAATTTCCCGGCTAGCCGGCCTTGAGCGCGTTGCCACAGCCCGCGCCGGTGGCCAGACATCCTCCGGTCCAGTGCCTCTGCCGTATGCTCCAGGATACTTTGAGAGTCAAGCACTGAGGGAGCGCAGCACAGTCGGCAGCGCCAGCGCGACGGGCAGCATCGCCGGACGCACAACCTGGGCGAGCAGTAGCGACACATACGACGCCGACAAAATGAGCGAGGATCACGAGGACGACGGCACCTCCAGTGTTGGTAACATCAGTGACGAGGGCAATGCCAGTCTGGTTGGCTTTGGCGAGGGCGCCAACAGTACTTACAGTGGGCCGATTTCTCGTCCGCCTGCAATGAACCGTGTGTCCTCGGGAGGTCTTGGAGCACGACCTACTTCTATTGGGAGCTCCAATGTCAACCGTCCAAATCCATTGGCTTCATATCTTCAGCAGCAACAGGGCCATGTTGGGGAGAGCTCCATGATATCGTCGTCACCGGCTGGATCAATGACCCCCGAGCCTATGAATGAGGATGCTCGCATTGTTGATGGTATGACTTTTGACGCGGATGTTATTGATACCACTGCCAGAACTCCTCGATTGGTTACCACGCCTGGTCACAGTAGCAGTGCGTTTGGCTCGCCAGGCCGGGATTAGAAGGGCCATGCTTTCCAAGGTTGGTATATTCAAGAGGCTACGAAGGCGTTTTTCTTTTAGTGGCTTGATGCCTCCAATGAATTGACTTTTCTTTTTCTTTGTCTGTTTCAAGCAACAATGCCTATGCATGTAATTATAAAAAGAGAGAATAATATATAAAAACTTTTTCTTCCAAATATCTATGTTGTAGGTGTTGTTAGTACCTGATTGGGGGTGTCTTCCCCTCCAAAGACCATTGCCACCTGTCTTTTCCACATGAATCCAGACACCGAGACAGTATTCAAGGATATATGTATTTAGACATATAGAATAATATATAACCAAGCTACCAATTAGTTTCATTCAAGCTCCAATCGAAGTCGAAGCGTACAATCTATACAATTAGGATTCCCGGCACAACGCGTATACCGCAGATGACGGCATGCCGCCGAGCCACATCGCCAAACTCGAATTTTCTCTTCTTTCAACTCTTCAACCTCCCCAACTACCTTTCTTCGCCCGACCCTTTTTGCTGGCATTGACTTGTCTAGCAGTCTTCTATTCCGCCGACTTGCTGTTTTCACTTGCCCAGAAGCCCTCGAAATCCCAATCCGAGAAACACCTTCGAAAAGCCCGTTTCGCTTCGCTTTGTTCCACTCCCGTTATTCCACCGGGATCATTGTTCGCTGCGAGGCTATTTTGGTCCTATAAGTTCACTTTGTGATTCGTGTTTCTTCTTAGAAGAATCTAATTTTACCTTGTGTTCCCGAAAATCATTCGATTTCTCTTCATTTGGTGGATTTATTCTAGACCCGCGAGTCGAAATCAAGATGGCTGCTCCTACGCAACTTGCTTGTACGTATCTTCCTCTCCTCATATTTGTTCTGGACTTCGGGCCATATTTGTCGAGAGTGGATGAATGATCGCTGATAGTAGCACAGTCCGCACGCTCAAGGGCATTAGCATTATGGATGCCGCCCCTGTCTATCAGCCCCTTTCTGGGTTCGCGAAGTAAGAATTGAGTCGGATAACAATCCAAAAATTTTGCTAACTCTTTCTCCGCTAGACCAGAGGGTAACCTCCGCTGTAGCGCCTACTCGCCGTGTGGCCGGTACTTCGCCTGGGCGTCGCCCGAGAAGTCAGTTGATTTCACCCCACTTTCACGTCTAAAATCTAACATTCGTCTCTGACACAGGGTTACAATTATTGACCCTTCCGTGGGCCTTGTCGTTGGAAGCATCGCCGCCGATAACGTGTTCGAGCTGGGATTCTCGCCACTCGGCACTTATGTGATCACCTGGCAGCGCACATCCAAGGACGAAAACGGAGACGCCGTCAAGAACTTGAAGGTGTGGCGTGCCATTGAGGACAGTGACGATCACTCGGTTGTGGGAAGTTTCGTCCAGAAGTCGCAGACCGGTTGGAACTTGCAGTATACTGCCGACGAGAAGCTGTGCGCTCGCACCGTGACCAACGAGGTTCAGTTCTACCAGAGCGACAACCTGTCTACTGTTTGGAACAAGTTGCGCGTGGAGGGAGTGGCGGACTTTGCTTTGTCGCCTGGTCAGACTCAGTCGATTGCCGTGTTTATTCCTGAGCGCAAGGGCCAGCCTGCCCAGGTTAAGGTGTTCATTGTGCCGCAGTTCGCTGCACCCGTGTCCCAGAAGAGTTTTTTCAAGGGCGATAAGGTTCAGTTGAAGTGGAATGCCTCTGGAACTACTTTGATTGTGCTTGCGCAGACCGAGGTGGATCGCACTGGCAAGAGTTACTACGGCGAGACGACCCTGTACTTGCTGAGCGCTAGCGGTGCATTCGACTCGCGCATTGATCTTGGTGCGCTTTTCTCGATTTACTACTTGTTGAACTCAGCTGACAATCAACAGATAAGGAGGGTCCTATTCATGATGTTAGCTGGAATCCCAACTCGAAGGAGTTCGGTGTTGTGTACGGCTACATGCCCGCTAAGACGACCATCTTCAACTTCCGCGGTGTGCCCAAGCACAACTTCCCCCTTGCACCGCGCAACACTATCCAGTTCTCGCCCCATGGCCGCTTTGTGCTGGTTGCCGGTTTCGGTAACCTGGCAGGACAGATGGACCTCTACGATATGGACAAGAACTACCACAAGATCACCACCGTCGAGGCCTCCAACGCCAGCGTGTGCGCCTGGTCGCCCGACGGACAGTACATCCTGACCGCGACAACCAGCCCCCGCCTGCGCGTCGACAACGGTGTGCGTATCTGGCACGTTACCGGTGGTCTCACCTACAACGAGGAGATGACTGAGCTATACGACGTCACCTGGCGCCCTCAGAGCATCGAGCACCACCCGTTGGGTGAGCCGCTCACCAAGGTGCCTGCGCCCCATCCCTCCGCCACCGCCTACATGGGCACGCGCAAGGCTCCCGTCAAGCCAGCAGGTGCCTACCGCCCCCCCGGCGCACGCGGCCAGCTGACCCCGCTCGCATTCAAGCGTGAAGACGAAGGCGGCGCCGCCTTCGTCCGTGACGGCGTGCCTGGCGCCAGCATGAACACCTTCGGCAAGCCCCGCCGTCGTGAGATCCCTGGGGCCGAGCCCTTGGAGGAGTACCTGCCTCCTGGAGCCGCGCCCGGCGGCGGCGTCGCCCTGCCTGCCGAGAACCTGTCTAAGTCTGCCGCGAAGAACAAGAAGAAGCGCGAGGCGGCCAAGAAGGCCAAAGAAGACGGAACTGATAATGCTCCTCCTGCCAACGCCCCGACTGGACCTAGCCCAGACCGCAACCGTAACCGCGGCAAGAATACTGGTGCCATGAATGGAAGTGGTGCGGCCAAGTCTGCTCCTCCCCCTTCTGCTGCCCCCGTCGCTGCCCCAACGCCTGTTGAGGATCCTTCTGCTCAGGATAAGAAGGTTCGTGGCTTGCTGAAGAAGATCCGTGCTATTGATGAGCTTAAGATGCGTCTTGCTGGTGGCGAGAAGCTGGAAGATACTCAGATGAAGAAGATCCAGACTGAAGACGCAGTGCGGAAAGAGCTCCAGGCTGTTGGTTATGACGGTTAATTGGAATTGAACAGATGAGAATGTGTGATGCGTGACGACGATGCTTGACGACGTTGATGCAGATTGCACCCTTGCATGGATATACTTAGATCGACCTACATGTATTGCATCTGGTATAAGAGCTGTTCAGATTGACATCGATATCAATATCAATATCAATACCACTCACTATCAATATGGACTTCAACTACCTGTAACTGTAACCATCTACGTCTATAAATCTACAAATATATCTACATAAAATATAAAAGTTAGAAAAACAAAATCCTCATCCGAACATCGATAACTCGTCTGAGACACCCATTTCTCTCTCAACCCGCGCATTCTCTCCCAATTAGCCCTCTACCACCAAATCTCCGTCTCATCCAACCCAGACAAACCCCCCTCAACAACTTCCTCATGCCAAGGCTTCGTAGCAAAGATATAATGCAAAGTCTGAACCTCTCAGTCCCGATAAATACAATCATACACACCCTCAATCCGCTCTGTCTCCTGCAACGCAGCCGTGATCTCGCCGTACACCCGCGTAGAAGGCCTCACGATTAACACGCCGCTGTTCAGCATCCCGATGCCAGAACTTAGTGGCAGCGCCGTGCTTTGCGCGTCGGCGGGAGTGAAATGTTGCGTTGTGTATACGCAGTTCGAAGGGGTCCTGGTTGGAGAAACATTAGCATTGGTATGTATGTAGCTTGGGTTTTTGGCTGAAGAGAAGTAGAAAAGAAATGGCGGGATACCGAGTAGACTCGATTGTGTTACCAGTTGCCCCTCAGTGGGAATGAACTTTTTGGGATGTTATATTGTAGAAGGAAGAAAAGAAAAGAATTAATATAGCATTACTGGTTTGATATCTCTTCCTAATGCGAATACAACTATATCTGAGTCTCTCCCTCAAGATCCCCAACTTGCACACCCCAAACTTGCCACCTAGCTTCCTCAACAAAGTCTCTCCGCAACCACAGCCCATATGGCTGACCCTGCGCCGGGGATAGCAGCCCTCTAGTTGAAAGATGGTCGCGTTCATCACCAGGCTGAGTGCGATCTAGCCAATCAAACAGCAGGCGAAGCTGCCAGATCCTATCACGAATTTGGTCTGGATCAGCGCCGCGGCCACGTGCGGATTGCACGATGTTGCGTACGGTATGCAACAGAGCGAGTCTCGCATCTACAGCTGAGGTACGCAGCCAAGGCGGCACAGAGATAATATCGGTTGTGATGCGCGCCGATCGCATCGGGAAGGAAGATGGGAGGACGAGGGAGCGCTCGCGGATGTCGAGGTCTTGTAGGGAGGGGAGGTGGAAGACCCAGTCCCAGGGGTTTTGGGATGGAGTCATCGCTGCAGATGGATTGCCGGCGAGTAGGGCCGTGCGGGTTGACCATGCCGAGGGTGGGAGGCCCTTGGCTGGGTTTGAGAAAAGACTGGCGGTTGCTGGGAGGATATCTTGGGCTTCACTGAGGCCGATCAGGGTGGAGGCAAAGACGGAGGTTGAGGAGCTTGGGCTGTAGGTTGCCTTGCGGCGAAGGTAGACGGATGGGTCGCCGCGGAGGAATTTCTCGCGCAGAGCATCGTTCTGGCTGAAATCGAGAACGAGGGGCCAGTGATCTGGTCCGCAAATATCGACACGGGCAATGCTGCTAGGATCTGGAAGCAGACAGGGGGCGCTGACGGTGCGGGTGGTCTCGTCATGAGATGTTATTGTAATGGGGATGGAGATTGGGCGGCGGGTGTCAAGATCACGAGGGACAAGGCATCGTGGTTCGGCAGCAAGAACCCACAGATGGCGGAAGGCTTGGAGGTGGCACTTGTTATCAAGGACAGTTGTTGGGAAGAGCGGGTAGAATGCGCAGATTAGCGCGGCCACAGCGCGGTTGGATGTGCCAAGCGTATGGCTTCCTCCTCCAAGGAAGAGTATTCCGATAGCCATGTGCGCCGCCATGTGACTACCATATGGTGTATGGGCGTCGATTCGACCATGGAGCGAGCGCA